TGGCTGAGGGACGGTGGGCTGGGAGAGAGACTGAGCATTTTTCTTGAACTCGAATTGTAGCCTGTGGTGCTTCCCTAATAAACCTCGTAATCTGTGAGTTCTGTGTGGCCACTGCAGCGAATTATCGAACCCAGGAGAGAGGTGGTGGGTGCTCTGGGAGGAACAATTGGAGAAAGGGCTGGAGGAAGGCAGCATGTCTGGCCTTGCAGTAATAGGCCTTGGGTTACTGCTGGTAACCCTGTCTTCCTCTTGTGGGATTAGAGGAGGTCAGAACATGTGGCCTCCTTGCCGTTTTAGCAATATTACAGAAGCAACAGAAGATAGAGTTGGCGTAACCTCTCAGAGACAAACACCTTGAGAGAGAGAAATCACCAGGCCTGCCGTCGGGACCATAGTCTCGGGGGACATCAAGTTCAACTGGCACAACATAGTACATAAAAACTTTGTTCCACAATTTGCTTTGGTGAGTAGCAACTGGGGTCTTAAAAGCCTTTGAGTGGCCATCTAAAATCTAACTATTGGTCACCACTCATCTGAAGCAAAGAAGAGTGAAGAAAATCAAAGGCATCTGGGAACAATTAGTCTAAGGATATGATGGACCCCAAGACCAGAACTAGATGGTACCAGCTACCAGTGCCAACCACTTGGAAAAGGATAAAAACTGGAGATCCTAAATAGAGTGGGAGGAAAAATGTGGAACAAAATTCAAAAACACAAAAATGACCAGAATTACTAGTCGGATGGAGTCTGGTGGAACCCCCAAGATTATGGCCCTGCATTACCCTTGAGTGAGAACTGGACTTACTCCCAAGGATTAGCTCTCAGCCGAACAGCAGAAAGACCTCCATGCAGAACACCTACCCTAGGGCGATGCACCCAGTTACTCTAGGATAGGAGTCACTTATGGATAGGAAAACTGAGTATTTTGAAAATGTCAATATTACCCAAAGCAATCTACACATTCAATATAATTCCGATCTAGACACCATCAACATTTTTTAAGGATATGGAAAAACCAATTATTAATTTCATATGGAAATTAGAGCAATAGGCCATGGAGCACTACCGGGGCAGCTTTCCACAGTAAACTGGACAGACAGGAGTGCATGGTTAAGAAGGGCACAGGGAAGCGGCAGCCGCAGGGAAGAGAGGGGAGGAGAGTTTGTTATGGTCGGGGATGGTAACTGGGCCATGAAATCAAATGTACACAAACTGTTGAATGTAAAACAAATTTTGCTCTGTAAATTTGCACCCAACACACAATAAAATTTAAAATAAGGTTCTACTATAAACAAGAGATGTGCATTGTGCCTAATGTAATGAAGAACTCCCATGTTCAGCAATAAATACAGCCTATATAATAGTATTTCCTACAGACTCTTATTTTATAGAGCTGTATAATGTCAATGAATATTTAAGTCTAAGTAAAGATAATTCCAATGACAACATGTTACAATCCAAATAAATCTGTATTTTTATACTCACACTTAAAACTGTCACATAATTAGAGATAAAATGTGGTACAGGTTCAATAACTTGATGGAAAGAAATAGGAAGACAAATGACTCATGATTTGAGAGACAAAAAGAAATTTTCTGTGCATTCAAGTTTTTTCAAGCTGACTGGGAAAACAATAAAAAATTCTTATGAAAAAAAAAAGTTGAGAGTTAACTACAATTTGTTTCCTTCGAGAATGAAAGAACAGTAACAAAAACAAAAAACTTGGTATTTCTCAACACAATTAAGGGGACCCAGCATGTCAAGTGACTTTGAGTTACTTAATAAACCCTTCGCCCAATCCTGCCTTTGCCCTATCCTGTGCCACTGAGAGAAATGAAAGGTCAGTGCAAACATATGCACCAGCTGGCTCTTTAGCAGTGTTATCTCCCAGCCTTATCTCACTAAATTATTCAAAGAAATATCTCACTAAATTATTCAAAGAAATAAAAAAGGAAGCTAAGAGCAACAGCTCATGTGGTTACCTCATTACATTCATCCACAAGTATGAAGAAGAGATCAAATCGGGACATGATAGGAGCCGACAAATTTATATTCTGTTTCAACGATTTTGACCTGTCATAGTGTCCACTGACTGGGTTTGCTGCTGCCAAAATAGATGTCCTGGCATTCAGAGTAGCCTAAAAAGAAAGAATTGTAAAAGGTTTAAAAAGACATTTGGACTGGCCAATAAATACACAACAAAATGCTTAATCTCATTCATTCATAATTAACTAAATGAAAACTAAAACATTATCATTTTTCACCAATTGGGTCATCAAAATTCAAATCTGATAATATATAGTGAAGGAAACAGGCACTACATGTGATGGTGGTGATGTGATGTATACACCCTTTAAACCAGCAAGTCTTTGTTAGGAATTTATTTTCCAATTAGGTATACATGAAAAAGTATGTTCATGGATGTTTATGTCAATATCGTTTATGACACAGAAGACTGGAAATGACTCAAATGTCACTCTACAGGGGTCTGATGAACCAAAATTAAGAACATAAAATTGAGTACCATGAAGTGATGAAAAACCAAGGCCGATCTACTATGTGCTGATATGGAAAGACTGCCAAATTAAAATTATAAAGTTAAATGAGCAAGGAGCAAAACTATACATTATGCTTATTTATATGGAAAATACTCCTGAAAGAGACAAACTCTAGGCATCTACTGGACTGGGACTGTAAGGGAAGATTTCACTTTTTAATTTATATTTTAGGGCATTATTTATTTATTTATTTTTTAAATTGTGATTTGGGTCAAAGATTATAGAGCAAATTGGTTGTCCATTCAACAATTCATACATACTTTGTTTTGTGGTATTGACTGCAATCCCCCCTTTGCACCAGCACTCTTCCCACTTCCTCTCTGTGTTTAACATTTCCATTCATCCTTTCCTATCCCTTCCCGTCTTCTGCGCTTTCTCCCTGGGCAAATGCTGTTCATCCTTCTGATCTTGTATGGTAGAGTGCATACCTCCCTGGTGTTACTGTTCACCTTACAGACCTACCTATCATTGGGTTGAAAGCTGAGCCACAGGGGTGAGTTCAGTTCCAGGCTTGAAGGTTATCTAAGGGCCATAGTCTGGGGGGTTCCACCAATATCTACGAGACCAGTAAGCCTGATCTATTTTATGATTTTAAATTTTATTACACATTTCCCTCCTACCATCTAGGACCTGGGAGCTCTGGTAGCATAGAGCCTAAGGCACTTGACTGCTAACCAGAAGGCTGGTGGTTCAAACCCACCAGCCACTCCTCGGAAGGAAGGTTGGGCAATCCTACTTCCGTAGTGATACTGCCTCGGAAACCCAAGGAGGGGTCGCTATGAGTTGGGGCCGACTTGACAGCAAATAACAACAACAACAACAAAAATCCAGGACCTAAGAAGCTTCGGTGGTGCAATGGTTAAAGCATTAGGCTGCTTTGGTTTACTCTGTGGGGTAAATATGAGGCAGTCTGTTTTCATAAAGATTTATAGCCTTGGAAACCCCATAGGGCAGTTCTAGTCTGTTCTATAGGGTTGCTGTGAGTCGGGATTGACTTGATGGCAACGGGTTTGTTTTTTAATCAGGACCTCCTATTGTGATTCCTTTCAGACTGGTCAGCAGTGGTAGCCGGGCTCTGTTCTTCTAGGTCTAAGTCTGTTCTTTTAGGCCAGAATCATCTAGTTCTTCTGGTCTCAGGGTCATAGAGGTTTTGTTCCTCTTTGCTCCAGACAGGGAGAGACCAGTATTTGTACCTTAGATGGCCACTCAAAAAGTTTTAAGACCCCAGTTACTACCCACTAAAGTAGGATATAGAATACTGTCTTTATGGACTATGTTATGCCAAATGACCTTGGTGTCCCCCAAGACTATAGTCTTGAGCCCACAGGCCCACTGACTCATTGTATCAAGATGTATGGTTGTGACTGCACCCTGTATGCTCTACTATATTCATGGATATATTTGCAGCATATATAAATACATATACAGATAGCTTCTGTCAATCCTATATATTTGTGGGTATACTCCCCTAAGTTTTTCTTAACTACTTGAATGTATTACTTTTATTAAAAATAGTTTAGATTCCCCTTAATGTTGATTATAGTTTCAGATTTATTAGTAATCTTTATTTAAAGAATCTATCAATCTTTGGTTATTTTTATTACAAATGGAAACATTAGTTATCAAAGAATACAGAGACTTTATACACAGAAATTTTGAGACACAAAATGGTAAAAATTTCACCAGTACTTCGTACACTTTCTATCATAACAACATATTTACACATTACCCTAACAACCATCTATTGTTTGTATTACTAATTCTTAGGGCTATGTTTTCAATTTTAATGAGCAGCATTACATGGCAAAGTAATGAATTTTATTATGCAGGTGAATATCTTCTCTTGCTACATTAATCTACAAAGCTTGGAACAGAGGCAGACACACATACCTTTACTCCCGCTTTAGTGATGGAGATGGTCTGTTGTTCCATAGCTTCATGTATAGCAACTTGATCCCTTATGTCCATCTTATCAAATTCATCAATACAACACACACCCTGTAAGCAAACAGATCTAGCATGAAGTGTTTTTCAGATGTAAAATGGTAAGGAAGTAAACTCACAAAAGTTTGCCACCACAGAGAAATTTTCTATTCTCTACTCAACTAAATGGTGGCATAGTGCCTAAGGCATTTGACTACTAACCAGAAGGCTGGCTGTTCAGATCTACCAGCTACTCCTCGGAAGGAAGGTTGGGCAATCTACTTCCGTAGTGATACTGCCTCGGAAACCCAAGGAGGGGTCATATTATGAGTTGGATCTGACTCGACGTTAGTGAGTTTGTTTTTTTTTGGTTTAAACAACTAAAGAATTCCTAATCCCTTCTAGTAGGGCAATAGATACAAGAGCCAAAAAGACCTGTACTTTTTTTTAAAGCAACTGATAATTTATGAAAACAGCTTATTTACAACATCTGCAACAGTGACTTAAACCTCAACAGTGACTTAAACCTCTGGTCCTGGTTCAACAATGATGGAAGTAACATGTTTAATGTCTCAGAAGAACTATACAAGTCAATGAGTTTCTTATGGATCCTCATCTGAAAGTGATCCCTGGTCTTAGAATCTTTAGCAGAAAGATTTAGCTTTTCTCACAGTGATTCTGAGTCTTGGTAGGAGGTTCTTCTCCTTTAACCAAGTCAGCATACACGTTCTTTAGGGATTTTATGTTTCGGCTTACATGGGTATTTCTAAATTTGCTGTCAATCCACCTATTTCCATAGGTATCTTTCTAGTGTCCTTAAAATCCATGGCTGTGGTTCCGCTTCCTGACTTATTTGTTCCTTAGTGAGAGCAGAGCAGTGAGTCAGGAGCAGGAATGGGTGGACCAAGGCTCTGCTGCAGAGGTGACTGCATCTTCCACAAATATACATATTCTACTCTTTAAATTTTATTTTGTTGAGAATATACACAGCAAAACATACACCAATTCAACAGTTTCTACATGTACCATTTAGTGACCTTGATTACATTTTTCAAGCCATGCAACTATTCTCACCCTCCTTTTTGGAGTTGTTCCTCTCTCATCAGTATAAACTCACTACCCACCTCCTAAAATTCCCATCTAATCTTCTGAGTTGCTGTTGTCAATTTGATCCTTCTTAAAAGAGCAAAATGCAGACCTTTTTTACTTGTTAACTATTGTTTGCTTTTAAGAAGACTTTAGGAGACATTTTTGGCCTAAATAAGAGCTAAACTATAAACATACAGGCATTTACCGTACTTTTATTCAACATCAAAACCTTGTGTGAACCTCAGTGTCAAGTCACTGGGTCACTCTGATATTTGTTTTGGGCTGGGCAAGTGAAGGGTGAAAGTGGAACACAATGAAGAATATAAACATGTATACAGAAACCAAACAAAAACCAAACTCACTGCCATCAAGTCCATTCTGACTCACAGAAAGCCAACAGACAGAATAGAAGTGCTCCGCAGATTTACAAGGCTGTAGATCTTTACGGAAGCAGACTGCCTCATCTTTTCTCCCACAGAGTGGCTGATGATGGGTTCGGACTGCCAGTCTTTAAGCTAGCAGCCCAATGATTTAACCACAGCGACACCAGAGCTCCTCGCATGTATACATACAACATATCATATACATTTAAAGAGCTAATCAATCCATGCCAAATATATATCAATACTAAATGGGAAGGAAAAAGTACTCCTCTTTCACTTTTCAAAGTTTAGATACATTCATAAAGGTATCATGGTTTAGAAAAGAAAAAATGCTGGCAAGTACTATTAATAGGTGCTACATATGTCCAGGGTAAGCAACAGAAAAGTGCTGATTAATGATAATCCCAATTAAAATTTTTGATTAGTAAAATTATGAATAATTTACTAAACCTAAAAACCAAACTCAATGCCATCAAGTCGATTCCGACTCATAGCAACCCCTCCTTGGGTTTCCGAGGTGGTACCTTTACAGAAGTAGACTGCCCGGTCTTCTTTCCACTGAGTGGCTGGTAAGTTTGAACCACCAGCCTTCTGGTTAGCAGTCAAATGCTTCAGGCACTACACCACTAGCGCTCCCAATTTACTAAAGGATGCTTTTTTACAAGGACATCTTTTTAACAGAAACTCAAAGGCCTATACTGATGGGGTAAGGGATATTCTGATTTCTTTATATCCAACAGTTCAAAATTTTCTTACATTATCAGCCAACATCAAAGCTCCAGCCTCAATGACAAACTCATGAGATTCTTCATCTCTCACAACAGCTGCTGTTAAGCCAGCAGCACTGGAGGCCTTTCCACTGGTGTAGACAGCTCTGGGGCTGAACTCTTCCACGTGCCTGTTCAAGGTTATCAGATAAATACTCATTAATATGTGAACTCTCCATCAGCTGGCAGAGGTTATGTCAGTTTCACTTAGACATCAGAAGAAAGGAGAAGACCCACCAACATTTGGAAGGTTGTATGAGAAGTGAGTTGATGGGAGAACACCCATCCCCATCCACCCACCAGTCACTAAGAAGTGTGGCAATGGCTGTCCTTACATGTGTTAACCATTAGAACATCTGAGAGAGGCATTAGCACAAACAATTCATAAAAACACACATTCCGGAGACTGAATGGACAAAAAGATCTGAATATGAAGCCTTATCTCATTTGGCCTTATAAATGGATTTAAATTCACTTCTGTCAAAGGACAAAATACAGTTTATATATAACCAAAACCAAACTCACTGCTAACCTTCTGGTTAGCAGTCAGATGCCTTAGGCACCATAGTGGTAGACAGAAGGGTGTTGGTCCAAACCCACCAGCCACTCCACAGAAGGAAGATGGGGCAATCTACTTCCATAAAGATTTACTGCCTCAGAAAACCAATAGGGGTTGCTATGAGTCGCAATCTATCCAATGGCAATGAGTTTGGTTTTTATATACAACACACATTAATTTTAAAAGAAGTTAGTAACAAACAGTTTTGCAATAATATCTAATAGTAAGATCTTGCAATTAAGGAATAAAACAAAATGAGAGATGGGATTTATCTCAGAAATGCCAATGTTGATTTAACATTTGAAAATCAATCAATATACCACAGTAAAACCTGCAAAAGGCACAACCTGTATATGGCAGAAACATGCTCGTTTTCCACTGTAACAAGTGATAGAAAGGCGGTAAGACTGCATCCTGTCAAAGGTGGAAAATTTGCAAGACCCAGAAAAATGAGGCAGTCTCATTGAGGTCTGGCTCTTACAGGTTTCACTGTCCAGTAAACGACAAGAATTACATGATTATCAATAGATACAGAAAAAAACATTTCACAAAACCCAACATTCTTTTAGGATAAAAACACTCAATAAACCAGGAATGGGAGGAAACTTCTTCAACCTGATAAAGGACATCTACAAAAAACCTACAGCTATCCCCACAACTCAAGAGCAAAAGCCTCAATACTTTCTACTAAGATCAGGAATAAGGCAGCTCTAACTACGTTTATACCTAACATTGTATTGGAGGTCCTAGTCAGTGCAATAAACCAAGAAAAATAATTAAAAGGCATAAAGATTAGAAAGAAATCGCTTTTATTTATAGACCACATGACTGAGTATATAAGAAACCTTTAAGAACCTACCAGGAAAAAAAAACAAAAAACCTACTAGAACTATAAGTGAATTTAGCAAGGCTGTAAGATACAAGTGAATGAATATATTTACCATTTTCCAAGAGATGTGATGAATTTGTACACTGTAAATTACAAAGGGGAATCTGAAGATGACTTAACTAAATGGCATGATATTCCATGTTCATGCACTGTAAGACTCAACACTTCAACACTCTGAAAACTACAAATATTGTTGTAAGAAATTAAAGAAAGCCTATATAATTGGAAAGATATTTGATGTTCATGAGTTAAAAGACTTAATATTATTAAAATGCCAATACTCCTTGTGGTAGTTAAGACTGTATGTCAACTTGGCTGGGCAGCTGGATGTAGTTATTACCCATGATGAGACTGGAAACAACTCCATGGTAGAATCTGCTGTGAGTAGCTGAGTAGCTGCCTTAGGGATATGGTCTATTTCCAGTATATAAGATGACGCTTTCAGAAAGGTCTACAGCTGGCCGAGTCTTCATTCCAATGGCCTGCCATGTTGCCTGCCGATCTTGAGACTGTTAATGAATTTGAATTTGTGGCCTGCTGTGTTGCTTAATAATTTTGGGACTATGCCATTTTACTTGTCAACCTTGGTTTAGTTAGCCTCAGCACCCAGTAGCTGTTTGAGTTAAGAGACACTTCTAGCTTCAGTGGGCCAGGATAAAGAAGCAGAGCAGAAGCTGAAGGCCCAGGGGCCTTTGAACTCAGACCTCCAGCCTCTTAAACTGTAAAAGAATATATCTCTGTTTGCTCAAACCATATATTTGTGGTATTTCTGTTTTAGCAGCACTAGAGGACCAAAACACTCCTCAAGTTGACCTACAAAACTCAATGCAATCTCTGTCAAAAGTCCAGCTGACCTCCTTGTAGAAACTGACAAACCAATCCTAAAATTCACATGGAAATTCAAGGAACCAAAAATAACCAAACAATCTGGAAAAAGAATAAAGTTAGACTCATACAACATGACTTCAAAAATTATCACAATGGCATCAAGATGGTTTGGAACTAGCATAAGGACAGACACAGATTAATGAAATAGAACTGATAGTCCAGAAATAAACCATCACATTTATAGTCCACTGATTTTTGACAAGCATGCTGAGATAATTCATCAGGAAAGAATAGTGTTCCAAACACTTTATGTTGGGACAACTGGGTATCACTTGCAAAAATAGTAAATTGTACCTCCTTATACCATATATCAGAAGCAAGGTTGGGCAATCTACTTCCGTAGTGATACCACCTTGGAAGCCGAAGGAGGGGTCGCTATGAGTCGGATCTGACTTGACGGCACATAACAACAAGATACCATATACAGGAACTCTGGTGGCATAGTGCCTAGGGCATCTGACTGCTAACCAGAAGGCTGGCAGTTCAAACCCACCAGCCACTGCTCAGAAGGAAGGATGGGCAATCTAATTCCGTAGTAATACCACCGTGGAAACCCAAGGAGGAGTTGCTATGAATCGGATCTGACTTGATGGCAGTGCGCTGCATTTGCGTTGTGTTAGCCTTACGTTATACCATGTACAAAAATTAACTCAATATTGATCAGACCTAAATGTAAGAGTTAAAACTGTACAACTCTTAGAAGGAAACATAAGCATAAATCTTTATGGCTTTAAGTTAGATAACAGTTACTTAGCTATGACACCAAAAACACGACAAAATAAATAAATTGGATTTTATCAAACTTAAAAAAAATTCTGCATTCTAAAAGATCATATAAAGTAAGTGAGAAGGTAATTCACGGAATTGGTAAAAATACTGAAAAATTATGTATCTGATATGGGACTTGTATACAGTATATAAAAAGAACTGTTACAACTTGACTACCAACCTGGTTGAAAATTGGGAAGAATCTGGGTAAGTATTTTTCCAAAGAAATATACAAATGGCCAGGAAGTCATGAAAACACTCTCAACATCATGAACCACCAAGAAAATGAAAATCAAAACCACAATGAACTACCACTTCACATTCACTTGGATCACTATGATCAAAAAAATGAGACAATAACAAGTGTTAGCAAGGATGTAGAGAAATTGGAACCCTCATACACTGCTGTATGTATGGGAATGTAAAATGATGTAGCAGCTGCTTTGGAAAACAGTCAGGCAGTTCCTCAAAAGGCTAACTTGCTACTATATGACCCAGCAAATCTATTCCTAAGAATTCTCCCAAGAGACAAGAAAAAATACCAACACAAAATATGTACACCAATATTTATAGCAGCATTACTCTTAATAGCCAAAAAGTGGTAACAACCCAAATGTCCATCAAATGAAGAATGGATAAACAATTAGAGGAAGACTCATTAACCCGTGACATGCAGATGACATAACTTTGCTTGCTGAAAGTGAAGACCTGAAGCACTTACTGATGAAGACTGAAGAGTACAGCCTTCAGAATGGATTCCACCTCAACATAAAGAAAACAAAAATGCACACAACTGGACAATAAGCAATATCATGATAAAGGGAGATGACTGAACTTATCAAATATTTCATTTTACTTGGATCCACAATCAACACCCATGGAAGCAGCAATCAAAAATCAAACATGTTTTGATTTGGGTAAATGTGCTGCAAAAGACCTCACCAAGCCATGGTATTTTTAATAGCCTCACATGCACGTGAGAGCTGGCCAATGAAAAAGGAATATGGAAGAATTGATGTATTTTACTTGTGGTTTGGTGAGGAATACTGAACGTACCATGGACTGCTTGAAGAATGACAAATCTATCTTGGAAGAAGTACACCTGGAATGCCCCTTAGAAGCAAGAATGGCCAGACTTTGTCTCATGGACTTTGGTCATGTTGACAGTCAAAAGGGACCAGTTCCTAGAGTAGGATAGCATGCTTGGTGAAATACAGGGTCAGCACAAAAGGGGAAGATTCTCAATAAGATGGATTGACACAGAAGCTACAACAATGAGCTCATGCACAGCAATGATTCTGAGGATGGCACAGGACCTGGCAGTGTTTCGTTCTGTCATATACAGAGTCGCTGAGTTGAAACCAACTCGAGGGCACCTGGCAACAATGACATATCCGTACAATGGAATAAACAGCAACAAAAAGGAATGAAGTACAGGCAGTCCCCAGTTACAGATGAGATCTAGTCCCAGTTATCCTTAAGTCAAGTGTGTAGATAGGTTTAGCCTTACTTTACTGCAAAAAAAGACTAGAAGCCTTTTCATGGTTTAAAAGCTCAAGGGAAGGTGACTATGATGAATTTTGTTATGAATAAGGGTTGGTTCAATCATTTCAAAGTGAGGGAAAATCTACATATAAAGGGCAAGTATGAGTCATCCCTAAGTGGGACATTCTGATGTTCATAACCCAGGAATTTACTATAAGGATACTTGTTACACCATGGATGATCCTTGTAAACATGATAAGTGAAAGAAGTCAATCACAAAAGACCATATATTATATGTTACCATTTATATCAAATATCCAGAATAAACAAATCAATAAAGGCACTAAGTAGATTAGTGGTTGGCTAGGTTGGAGGGAAGAATAGGTGTGACTGACAATGGATATGGGGTTTCTCTGAGTTAGAAAAATATACTAAACTTAGATTGTGATGATGGTTGTAAACTTTGAAAACACTAAAACATATTGAATTATATTATATATATTATATATATTATATTAATTATATTATATTAAAGGGGCATATACATTTTCTCTCAGTAAATATGCTTTAAAAAAACACTAGATAGAAAAAGCTCTTTCTGCCTAACACAACTACAACACTGTCAACAAGTCAGAAAACAAAAAACCTAAACCCACTGCTAGGGAGTCTACTGTGACTTACAGCAACCTCCAGTGGGTTTCCAAGGCCACGAGTCTTTTTTTTTTTTTTTTAAGGCTATAATCTTTATGGAAGTAGATAGCCGCATCTTCCTCCTGTGGAGCAGCTGATGGGTTTGAACCACCAACCTTCTGGTTAGCAGCCAAAAGCTTTACCCACTACACCACCAGAGCTTCCTGTTACATGCCAGAGGCAACATTTTATCTTTCTTGTGGTGGGGGTATGGGAAGCAGCAGGAATGAAGAGAAAAAAAATCCTTTTAACCTAAGATCATTATTTTTAAATCTAAACCTCAGTCCCTGATAAATGAGGGAGATATTTAGTCATAAAACTATAAACTAATTAAAAATGTTCTATGTTGTGGAACAGTGACATGTTATACATTTCTAAGATGAATAAAGGAAAGGCTGCTTGATACAGTACAAAGAGCACAGGCTAAGCAGTGAAATACATCTGAGTGCTAATAATCTTAGGATGGCAACACTTGTCAAGCTATGAGAGGCTGGGCAAGTTACTGAGTCTTAGAAAGGTTTGATTCCCTCCCTGAAAAAGGTGGTAACATCACATGCTTGTCTGAGTGTTTGGAGTATAAGACGTAAGACATATACACAGCACCAAGCACACAGCAGGTACTCAGAAAATATGCACTATTATTTTGAGCCTTAAATTTCCAACAAGTTTGAAAGTAACCTAATACTTATAGCTTCTGAAAATAAGTAAGGATTTCTAAAGTAGTATTTATGCTGGTCAGGTTAGTATAAAGTATCTCATTTCTGTAGCACTACTTTTGGGGAATGTGTCTATGTTTAAGAAATACAAAGATGTTTGTATTGCAAGTCTCCAAAGGAAATAAATGAAAAATAAAAATTTAGGCGTACTGTGATGTTCACTGTACCTCTATCTGTAATCACTGAAGTAACAGAAAAAAAAAAAAAAAAAAAATCAAACCAAACCAAACTGGTTGCTATGGAGTTGATTCTGATTCATGGCAAACTCATGTGTGCAGAGTAGAACTGTTTCCCATAGTGTTTTCAACGGCTGATTTGTCAGAAGTCAATTGCTAGGCCTTTCCTCTCAGGTGCCTTTAGGTGGATTTGAACCTCTAACCTTTTGGATAGGAGCTGAGCACGCACCACCCAGGGACTCCCATTAAAAAAATAAACTACCCTAGTTCAACAGTCACCAACAGGGCTATGAGAATGGTATTCTAAGCTATAGTACACCAACAAAAAATTGACAATTGTGAAAATAAACGTGGAACGTGTTTAGAGTAATTTGGAATTAAAAATAAAAATACAAATGTTATGATTTACAAGCATGAAAATAAATACAGACATGCATTCGAAGACATAAAGGTAATACAAAAATTATAAGAGTTGTATATGGGACTGGGATTTTAAGCACGTTTTTCTAGTCCAAAAAACTATGAAATGTTGCTTTTGTCTGTTTAAAAAAAAAGTGTTTAATCTAAGAGGATTATATATTCAATAGTCTTAATTTACACTCCTCACCCTCTATTAAAGGTAGACTAAGTGTATTCTTGGTATCACAGAAAGTCTAAAACTGTATTTTTTTCTCTACTGTACTAACTCAGGCAAATACTTACTTAAGAAACTGACTTTTTGCTGTACTTGGGTCACCAACAATGCAAACATTTATGTCCCCTCGAAGAGAGGTCCCTTCCCCTGTTGTCTTTGGAACACCACCAAAGAGCATCAGCAGGACACCTCGTTTTACTTCATCATTGCCTGAAATGAAAAGATGCCACAGATGAGAAGTCCACAGTATTTTTCAACATAAGGTTAAACAACTTCACTAGAAATCACTAAGTTAAATTTAACAACCACCAAAGAGCAGATTGAAGCAAAGCTCACAAGACTGGAGTGAAAATATCTGGCTTCTAACCTTGGATCTTGCTCTGTGGATTTCAAGTTACTTAACCATTGTTCCAATGTCTTTACACATAGTGCATTTGTCACAGATGCCAATATTCACCATTCTAAGAGTCTTTCCTTGTTCATCAATGGGCCTAGCATAAGACCTACGTGGAGCTCTTATGGCACAGTGGTTAAAGCACTTGGATACTAACCATAAGGTTGGCAGTTCAAACCAACCAGCCGCTTCATGGGAGAAAGATGTGGCAGTCTGCTTCCATAATTATAGCCTTTGAAAGCCTATGGGGCAGTTCTAGTCTGTCCAATAGGGTCACTATGAGTTGGAATCAACTGAATAGCAATGGTGTTTTTTTGTATTTTAAGACCTACTTCCTACACAAAGCCTTTCCTAATGCCCCAATCCTCCAACTATGCCTACCATTTCTACTAATTCTTTCTAGTGATAGGTCTTGTAGTTCTATCAAAACTAACTAGTTTGAGGAAATGGGCCATGACTTATTTCTTTTGTATTACCTATGGTGACCAGCACCAAATAAATTACGTGCTACTGAACCGCCGTGGATTAGATAAGACACTGAGGTTGGTGGTTTGAACCCACCAGTTATCTTGTGAAGAACCAAGTAGTTTTTGTCCATAAAGGTTTACACCCTTGGAAACCCTATGGGGCAGTTCTACTCTGTCCTATACAGTCACTGTGAGTTAGAATCAACTCAATGGTAGTGGCTTTGGTTTTTTGGTTCTATATAATAGCTCAAAAATCCAATTTAAGCAGAAGATATACAATTTAAAAAGAAGAAAACACTAGGATTTTGGAAATGTGCTATTAAAAGACTCATTTTTCTGAATTAATTATTAGGACTTTCTATATATAGCATCAAAAAAGCTCTAGGTGTACTTGTATAAACCATTACTTAAAAGTATAAAGTTAAAAATCTATGCTGCAAACAAAACTTCTGACTCACACAAAACATATGAAACAAAATGTGTTAGGTGTAGTGGTTTTAAAATGTCTACAAATTCTCTGATACTCCTCCCATTAAGACATGTAAGTTTAATGTTCCCCTCCTTGAGTGTGCCTGAGTTAGTGATTGCTTCTAATAAACAGAAGCAACAGCAGATGTGAAGGTATGTAACTTCTGACACAAGGTCATGAGAGCCATCACGTTTTCTCTTGCTTAGCACTTGGTCACTAGCTCTGGAAAAAAACAGTTACCATGTTGTGAAGATACTCCAACAGCCCTAAGGAGAGGTCCATGTAGCAAGGAATTGAGGCCTCTGGCTACCATCTAGCACTAATGCATGGGCATTTGAGTAAATTCTCTTCTAAGTGGTTCCTCCAGCCCCAGTCAAGACTTAAGATTATTGCAGCCCCAGGTGTTATCTTGACTGCACCTTCATGAAACATCCTAAGCTTGAACTATCCAGGTTAAGTGTCTCCCAAATTCCTTACTCACAGATACTGTGGGAAATAACAGCTGTTTTAAACCTAAGTTTTGGTATAACTTGCTGCGTAGCAGTAGATAATTTACGGAGGGAGAAGGGGAAGAGCAGCATAAAATTGTTGATACCCACTCACTGTATCAGAGGACACTTTAAAATCCAAAAGGATAACATAAAGGATTTCAGTTCAGTTTCACTGATCAAATACTTAAAGATGGAACAGTATAAACGTAAAGCAGGAGAACTGAAAATTTAGCCAGAGCCTTCAAACACAAAGAGGATTAAATTGAGTGACAGTGAGCAGCAGTCACCAAAGGTAAGAAAAAGTGAGAGACTGTCAAAGGTATATGCATAAGTAACCAAGAAATATCACCAAATCTCCATCCCTAAAAAAAGAAACACAAAGTCAGGAGATAAATTTAGTGGAAAATACTTCAGTGTAGTTATGGCCTTAGTGCCCTTCAAAATCTACATAAAAGACTTTCAAGAGCTGACTTGTATACTGTAAGAAATCACTTGGTGTTTAAAACTATTACAGCATTTTAAGTTTCTGCCACAAGTGGATAGACCTCTTACCATGTATAGTAGGGAACAGGCTGGTACAAAGATTGTGGTAGAGATTTTTATCTTGACTCATTTCAAACACTTTCTCCCACTCCTTCACAGTCATTTGGTTCTTAATGCTCTCAGCTGTCTGTTCTTCATCTCTGAGCTCTTTCCCTCCAAACTGAGGGGCAGAGGAGAAAGGAAAATAACATGCTAGAATAGAAACCACCAAAATGTGACACAGAAAGAACTCCACTATAAACAAAATATAGCTTGGGAGGTCTAATTCAGAATCTGCTGACAACATAGGTTTAGAAAAAAAAAAAAAAATCACCAAAGATTTAAATAGAAATGCCTTCGATAATCAAGATACTTTAGGGTTTGTCACTTGTGCAGTGAGTCAAAAACCAAACAACCTACCGCCATGATTTTACAATTTTATTTAAATGAATCTGAATGCTCAAGAGATGAGCCACAGCAATATGTTAATCACTGATATGAAGATGTAAATAAACTAACAGGATACTATCTTCATCCCTTTTTTCTAATACTCTAGCTTTCAAAGTTACTTTCCCCACTTCTTTCCCATTCAGGACACAGAATCAAGTTAAATGAACTATAATGCCAAGAGTCCATCACTCTCACAAAGACCTTACTTCCCAAATGTCTAAGTTTTTTATTTGTACTTCCTCTAAGACAGTGACAAAGGAACTGTGATACTTTTGAAAATATCAACAACCTGGATAATTTGCACCAATGCATAAAAATCATTGCACTCTTCTCTACGAAACAGTAAGACTTCCTTAAGAGTCAGAAAGACAGACATGAAACAACTTTAAGTTTTAAGACTTAAAACAAAAGAATCAAACTTCAACCCATCTCCCTACTGTTAACATCAATTAGCTTTTTTCCAGAACCCTCTAATTTTGATGTAGCCTCATAGAAGTCTTTCTTAAGCTGCATCATTCTATTAAGACGACTCACCCTTGGGTTGGTGGGTGCAACACTGCAGGCAAGAAAGACCAGCCTGTAAGAAAGGTCTCTGACACCAAGGGCCCGGAGTCCTCGAACACCTTCTGTTTCATAACCATCCACACCGCTGACACGGGAATTAGTTTCTGCACGTGCTCCTGAAAGAGTGAACAATGGGCTGCTTCACAGCTAACTCTAAAATACGAAGGTTCTGAGAATCAAAACCACTCAAATAAATGAAACCTATAAACCCTAAGATTTTACTTAGGCTTCAAAAACTTTATGAACAGTACCTTTTGTCACAGAACCAATTCATTTTTATTCTTATCATACTGCCCCACGTACCTGCTCATCAGTAGCCAAGATGAGAAACATGTAAGAAGTAGATAATCTATAATTCAGGCAACTGAAAATTTGTTAAATTTGAGCCACAGACTACCCACCTGGTGTGCTAAGCTTGGAGACATCAGGCACAACAATGAGCGTGCCTGTAAAGTCACATTTGTCACCAGCTTGAGCTGATTCCACAGCTTCAGCCCTCAGGATCACTTCCAAACTGCGGGGGATACTCCCTCGAGGAAGTTCAGCTTGAGTCTCTTGAATACGAACCTGTAACAAAGACAAATAAATACCCAAGAATGAGAAGCGTTTGAATGATCACCTTTCAAATGTGATCTAAATCAAATGCTACAAATACTGACATGTTCTAAACTATCTTATATTGTGCAGATTTTGACATGTACCACCAACACTGATATTAAAAATTCTCCACCTCAAAACTCTTTTAGTCAAATTGTTCTATTTGGTACATGATTACACTTTGTATTAATAAACTTCACTTTTATTCATTTAACAATACTACTTCATTTGGACTCACTTTGCCTGGAACAGCAGAGGAAGAAGACCCAGAGGAAGGAAATGGACTGTAGGTTTAATTGTCTTCATAAACTATATCCTCTATCTTAAAAGCTAGCAAGCTGCCATCCAGATGCAACGATGGGTCTCTCCTCGTCCAGAGCAAAGAAGAATGAAGAAAACCAAAATTCACGGAAACAATTAGTCCTAGCGACTGGTATAGCATCTGATCTGCAGCCTATACAACTATGAGACCAGATGAACTAGATGGTGCCCGGTTACCACTGTCATCCACTTGGAAGGGGATCTATGTAGGAGACCCTTGATGGAGAGTAAGAACAATATGGAACAACACTCAAAATTCATTTGGAGGAAAAAAAAAAGGGGAGAGGGGACCAGGTTTGCTGGTCCGATAGAGCCTGGTGGAACCACTGAAGACTATGGCCTCTAACTGCCCTTCAGGTCTGGAATTTAACCCACACCTGTGGTTTCCAGCCAAACAAAAGACAGGCATATGAGTTGAACATTTACCTCAAGCAGATACTCTCCTTGGAGAGAACAATCATGGGACAAAGAAGGGCTGCTTATGCACAGGGAGACAGCACAGGGGGCAGGAGTGTATGGAAGGATGGACACAGGGAAGAGGTAACTATAGGGAGGAAGTGGGAGGGGAGCTATTACATTGTGGTAAACTGTGGTCAATGTCATGAGACAAAATATATGTAAACTGCTGTATGGAAAGTGAATTTGCTCTGTAAATCTTCACCCAAATCACAATTAAAAAAAAAAAAAAAAAACCATAAGCTAAAGTGAACAACAACAACAACAAAAACTATATCCTCTATTACCATGAGACCAGAAAAAAAAGATGGTTCCCAGCTACCATTACCGAACAATTTTGATCAAGAACCCAGCAGATAGATTCTCAGCAAATGGAGGAAAAACATGGACCTGAACTCAAAGTCATACAAAAAACAGACTTATTGGATCTACTGAGACTCAGGGAACTCCCAAATCTAATGTCCAGAAATAATTTTCAGACCTTCAACTGAAACTATCTCACAAAGCCATTTTGAGCTAGACTTTTGTTCATAGTATTAATAAAGAGCGTTTGCCTATAACATAGTATTCTTATAATATAAGTTCAAACTAACAACAATTAATCTAAAGCACAGATGAGAACTGTAAGGAGCACAAAGCCTAAATTAATGAGGATAAAACAGTATGGGTAGAGACTGAGAATGATAATACAATGTGAAGTATGTAACCAATGTTACTGAACCGTTCACGTAGAAATCGTAAATAGATATATATTTGGTTGGGCATATTGCCACCAAAAATTAATATTTAAAACTACGTATTTTTTTCTCTGTTCAAAAATGACCATAAATATCTATTCTCTGTGCCATTTCCTCCTAAAATATATTCCCCCTTGCTTTATCAAGACAGGTTCAAATACCTCATCAGAGATTTGAGCTCTAAGTATATCCGCACATCTCTTACCAAATTGTCTCTCAGATGATCTCCAATTTGGCTCCTCCACTTCAGTCATGATAATCATTGCTGACAATCATCTTCATCCTGCCCTGTCTTTTTACTCATTTCTTCCTCCCTTCTATTCCCACCTTGAAGTCTTATCCTAGTAAATCTCTCCTTCTTCAAGGATTTATTATGAGTTTATAATAAGAGTCATCTGTCTATTCTTTGAAAAATAAATTTTGTCAGACTGATTCAAGCTATTCAAGGTTAAAAACCATTTATATACTGACAAGTGAAATTTACATGAAGAATTTTTGGCTAAAATCTGTAGCCACTTTTGATGATGCCTGCCTTTACATAAAAAGTGAGTTTAACATTGTCTATATAAGCTATTTTAAAGGCCTAAAAGTTAATTATTAGCATAGGCTAGATCTAAACAGAAGTAAATACATACCTTTTGAAAATCAACAAATCTCGATTTGTTTGTATCCAGCAAGAATCTTCTCCTATTGGCACAAACCGGATTTCGGCAGATGTTTGGTGGTGTGTATTTAAACTGCTGTTCTACATCTTTGATCACTGTTTGGCAGTCCAAGCACAGGAAAGTTCCACTGACTAGTTCTGGGTGAACTGGGTGAGTCCGAACCACCTGTCCACTGATACGCGTGAGCAAACCAATTCTGGATGAAGTGAGTTCTCGAATTCTGTTTAAAGAACAACTGTGCATTAATAAACAATCATTTCCTGACTAAAAAAAACTTTTCATTTTACTAAAATGGTATTCAATGATATTTTATCTTTAACAAAACAAAACAAAAACCAAGAGACAAGATCATCTTTAGACTCTCCTACACAAACTATTCACCATGCTGGTTTCTAAATTACAGAAGAAACATTCATAGCAACAAGATACATAAATGAGCAAGTATAAAAAATTAAGTAAAGGACATTAAAAACGTGAGAATTAAAGCCAGATACCATTTCCTTCCTATTTTAAAGTACTGGTTATATCTCGGATTGAGGTATAGGTGAGAAATTAACACTATCATACTCTGCTGACGAGAAAATATGTTAGTAAAAGCTTTCTGAGAGCCTCTAAAATCTATACAATCCTTTGACGCAACAAGCCTGCTTCCGGGAATTTATTGTAAGAATATAATTTTGAATGTGTGAACTGACAGCATCCTTTCTAAAACAATGGTTAAGATAAAAATAATCAAGGTTTGTAACATGGGGGACTGGTTAAACTATACACGTATACAGTGCAATACTGTACAAGTACTTCTAGAGAAGAGCATTTCCCAAGGAAGTATTAAACCATATAAACTAAGTGACAAAAACAAATTATAAAACAGGATGATCTTATATGTAAGTATATATTGCTGCTTACCTAAAACTTCTAAATAAGTATGTATCACTTTCATAATGAAGTTATCATGGAAAAATCATTATACTCAGAAGTTTCAAAAACACTTTACTTCATTAATCAATGGAACCCACTTTTATGAAATAAGTTGGTAATTGTGTAAAATAATTTGATTGTTTTTAAAATACTAAAATAACACTTTAATTTCTCCTAATATTATGTAACTGCCAAAGGGGAAAACTGTTTGAAAGTTTTCTAATTTCAGCTGGGACAAAGTTTACCAAAGACTCATGAATTTCTGTGACTTCTTGGTTTTCTTATTTCCTTATTTGACTAATGCTATTTTTCCTAAAGTTTCCTAAAATTGACTACCCTGAGAATCTGTTTCACTTAACTTACTTCCCAACAGATCTCCATAGAAAAACATGTTTCTCTCAAACTAAACTTTCTGGATATCTGGGTTTGAATCTTTAAAAATAAAGTCCCTTCCTATAAAATGTGCATGGAAAACACTTTTTTTCCTCCTGGTATTTTACAGCACTAACTTCAGAGTTCTCTTTTCACAATTTTTCTCACTCATGAAAAGGTAATTTTGTAACAACAATGATAATTTAGGAAGAAAACTTAAACCGAAAGAACTCACAGATACAGGACTACAACCTCCCAAGTTTTCTGAGTGCCAATTAAGTGGTGTCTACACTATCTGGGGGAGCTTGGTGGCCTAGTGCCTAAGGCATTTGACCGCTAACCAGAAGGCTGGTGTTTAAAACCCACCAGCCACTCCTCAGAAGGAAGGTTGGGCAATCTACTTCCGTAGTGATACTGCCTCAGAAACCCAAGGAGAGGTTGCTATGAGTTGGATCCGACTCGAGGGCAATGGGTTACACTATCTGGAAGGAGCCCTGGTGGTATAATGGTCAAACACTGCTACTGACTGAAAGTTTGAACCTACCAGCTGCTCTGTGGGAGAAAGATGTGGCAATCTGCTTCTATAAAGATTACAGCCTTATGGAAGTAGTCCTACTCTGTCCTATAGGGTTGCCATGAGTCTGAATCAAGCTGAAGGCAACAGGTTTGTACTATTTGTGATTGTTGTTTGCCTTCGATTCGAGTCAGCCGTGACTCATAGTGACCCCTCCTTGGGTTTCCGAGGCAGTATCACTATAGGAAGTAGATTGTTGCTTAGTAGCCATAGTAGATGCTATTTAGTGAATTCCTTTTCTTCCAAAGACAGCAATAGTAGATACTATTTAGTGAATTCCTTTTCTTCCAAAGATAGGTTTCTTACTTGTGTCTGGTAGGCAAGTCTTGAAATGAAACATAAAAGTCCTTGGCAAGAGGGATCTCTTTGCGGTCTTTGACAAAGGTTTTCAAGGCCCGACAAAGGTAAGGGTAAACTCTGAAAAACAAACAAAAAATTAATTAACATTAAAAAGACCAAATGAGGGCTTCTTCCCTTTCCAATCTTGCCAACAACTGAGACCAAGGAATTTCATCTGGTTATAAGGAAACCTTAACTATGTGAGATGCTTCTATAATCTAGTCTGAGTCTGCTCTCTTACAGTCCTCTTTATTTCACCATAAACAAATCTAAAACAACAGAAACACCAAAGATGCAATGCTGTACGTCAATATCTAATACAATCACCTTGCTGGTACTACACATAATGTCACTGGTTTTCTCTGGGCTGTTTACACATTTGCCAAGACATCTTCCAATTTGGTGTCAAGGCCTATTGTATTTTTTGTTTCATTCTTAATTGGTAAGAAATGAATGAGGACAGGGAGAAATTTTGTAGCAGTGTGAAAGGAAATGCCTTGTTAGACTGATGTGTGCCTATCCTCTTGGTATGTATCAATAGCTGCTAAAGTTTGATTTGTTTAAAGCAACAGGATCTGAAAGTTCTCTGAAAAATTACTTTTGTGAGACAGAACTGCTGCATGGCCTGTTCATAAGGTATGAATACAAATGCTTATACCTCCAAGTCTTGATTTTTACCTCCTTCTCACTGTGGGGCATTTTTCCTGCTGCAAACCTTTACGATAAACTCTGCTGCTTATCCCTCCAACCATTCCTGATGGCAGTCAGCCATGATTAGAAACATCAACACAAGCCACAATCTCTAAATCTATAAGGTAAAGAAGCAGGGCTTTACCTCCTTACCCTCAGGTCTTCATTTCTCTTTCAAAGATATCTATGTTTAATCTGATTTTGTTTATACAAAATTATGAAATTTTGTTAACATATAAACACAGAGAGGAGCTGTGATGGCACAGTGGTTAAACCACGTGGCTACTAACCAAAAGGCTGGTGGTTGGAATTCACGAGCTGCTCCATGGAAAAAGGTGAGGCAGTCTGTTTCCGTAAAGATTTATAGCCTTGGAGACCCTATGGGGCAGTTCTACTCAACCTATAAGTTCGTTCTGAGTCAGAATTGACATGACGGCAGTGGGTTTGGGTTTAACGTGCAGACAAAGATTTATGTACAAAGATGTTTCCTGCTGTATATGACAACTAAAAACTGAAAGTCTAAGTTATTAAATATAATGTTTACTGATAGTATTTCTGTCAAAAATCTGAAAGCCATTAAAATGTTTTCAAAAACTTTATCACATACAGAAAAATATGTTACATGATTAAAATGAAAAAGGATGCTCTATCTACATGACCCTAATGTTGCTTTTTAAAAAACTGTATTTTTGTTAGGTGCCGTCAAGTCAGCTCCAAGTCACAGTGACAACAGAATGAAACACTGCCTGGTGCTGTGCCAGCCTTACACTCCTTGCTATATCTCAGCCCATTGTTGCAGCCACTGTGTCAATCCATCTTTTTGAGGGCCTTCCCCTTTTTCGTTGATCCTCCACTTTACCAAGCATGATATCCTTCTCCAGAGAATGCTCCCTTCTGACAATATTGACCAAAGTAGGTGAGTTGAAATCTGGCCATTCTCGCTTCCAAGAAGCACTCCAGCTGCACTTCTTCCAGGACAGATTTATTAATTAGTTCTTCTGGCAGTCCATGGTACTTTCAGTATTCTTTGCCAACACCATAACTCAAGAGCATCAACTCTCTCCCTACTTTTCTCTATTCTCTTAAATTTTATTTTTGGTAATATTATGTTAAGCTTTAAGAGATGAAATCTGTAACAATGTCCTTGCTGCAAAGATACCCCTGACAAAGGAACAGGACCCCTCACATATACTATTGTTTTCCCACAGCACCTACTCCTGGAGTGGGGTGGGTATGAGACAAATGACATAGCAATAGTACTAAAGACTCGATACAAAGCAAGTGATCCTCTTAAACCTTGAGAAAGCAATATAGAAAACAAAGATTTTCAACATTTCCATGTGAAAAATACTCAACTCCAGGAAAGCCTAGGTTAAGGTCAGAGCATCACTAAAATGACTAGATGGTATCAAAGGGCCTCCTCCCCTCTGAGGAAGGAAGTTAGATTCCTAGGTCTCCACCTCTATTCAAAGTAAAGAGTAACGCACCCATACCTATAGAACTCCTCTTGAATGGTGGTGGAAAGTTGCTGGTTAAATTGTTCCAGATCCACAAAACTCACAACCAGTGTGTTTCTCTCAGGACGGATTAGCTCCTCTGCCAACTGCAAGTACTTTATTTCTCCATCGCCGCTCTGGAACCTGTGGATATGTACAAGTCAGATTAAACTGAGGAGTCAGGGGCAGTAAAAAGAAGAATCTGGACACCAACAGTTCAACATATTGGTTAAAGATCACAGGCTTTCGAGTCAGGAGCCCCAGGTTTAGTAGTTCTGTAACTTAGGGCAAGTAACTTATGCCTCTAAACCTATCTCCCCCTTTTTAAATTCTCTCTCTCATTTTTTAAACAGATGAGGACACATCACCTCATCTCATAAAACCGTTATGAAGATTATATGTAAAGTCTTTCTGCACAGTGCCTGGAACACAGAAAAAATTAGGTTCTTGGGCTTTAACCTGAGGAGCTCTGGTGGCATAGTGCCTAAGGCATTTGGCTGCTAACTAAAAGGCTGGCGGGTCAAACCCACCAGCCACTCCTCAGAAGAAAAGAGTGGGCAACCTACTTCCGTAGTGATACTGCCTCGGAAACCCAAGGAGAGATCGCTATGGGTCGAACAGACTCGACAGCAGTGAGTTTGGTTTTGGTTTTGGGCTTTAACTTGAATTTGCTGACTGGAACATTTCCCAATCAACTCATGTGCTCAACTGTTAAATATTGTTATACATAACGGTCAATCAAGAAATTCAACTTAAAACCCAAAGACCCAATTTTCCTAGGGATTTGAAAACCAATAGATTAATTGAACTAAGAATCATCAGGATAAAAATAAAAACACAGAAATGAGGCTCTTTATTGTCCGAGACCTCAGAGAAATGAAAACACACATACATACACAATAACCTGCTCAATTTTTTTCCCTTAAATTCTTTAAATATACAGATTAGTTTTGAAACAGAATCAATCCCTCCTTCAAATATAGCATGTTTTAACTCTTAAATATCTATTTAAAATTTCACTGTGATTTGGGTGAGTTTTCAGAGCAAATTCATTTTCCATACAGTTCATACACATTTTGTTTCATGACACTGACTGCAATTCCCCACAATGTAACAGCTCTCTTCCCACTTCCTCCCTATAGTCACCTCTTTCCTGTGTCCTTCTTTCTTATGCATTCCTGTCCCCTGAGCTATCTCCTGATGTAAATGACCACCCTATATGCCAGTTTACTGCTTGGCTGGAAGCCATGGGAGTGACTTCATTCCAGAACTGAAGGCTAACTAGGGGTCATAGTCTCAGAGGGATCTCACCAGCCTCTAACAGACCAGTGAAAAGCAAACAAAAACTCACTGCCATTGAGTTGATTACGATTCATAGCGACCCCCTTTGGATTTCCAATGTGGTAAATCTTTACCGAAGTAACTGCCCCATCTTCCTTCCCCGGAGTGGCTGGTGGGTTTAAACCACCAACCTCCTCGTTAGTAGTCAAATGCCTAACTAAGGCACAACGCCACCAGACCTCCTTTCAGACCAGTAAACTTGGTCTTTTTTATGAAGTTGAACTTAGTTCCACATTGTTCTTCCACTCTATCCAGGAACTCCAGCACTGATCCCTCTCCAGGTGGTTGACAGTGGTAGCCTGCATCATGAAGTCTAACTTTTAAATATTTATTAAACATCACCTATGTGTAAAACACTTGACAGAGCTATCTGAACCTGAAAATGAAAGTGTTGTTCCAGTGCTAGGGTTGACACTCTCGGAAACACATAAGTAAATAACTGAGGAAGGGAAGAAGGGCACGCATACTAAAAAGGGTACAAGAAATGTGGCTGTCAAACAAAAGACAGGCACGTGAATTGAACATTTACCTGAGGTAGATACACTCCTTGGAGAGAACAATCATGGGAGAAAGAAGTGCTGCTTATGCACAGGGAGACAGCTCAGGGGGCAGGAGTGCATGGAGGGATGGACACAGGGAGGAGGTAACTATTGGGAGGAAGTGGGAGGGGAACTGTTGCATTGGGGTAAATTGTGGTCAATGTCATGACACAAAGTGTATGTAAACTGCTGTATGGAAAGCGAATTTGCTCTGTAAATTTTCACCCAAATCACAATTAAAAAAAAAAAAAAAGAAATGTGGCTGTGTTAATATAAACTAATTCTGCCTAATACGAACACCTAGTATTTGAAAGAAAAGCAAGAGTAATGGATTGGCTACAAACGTTTGCAAACAAGCCACAAGGTTGGAGAAGGTATGGGCAGAGTGTAGATGACTGAAGCTGGTTGTAGATGACACTACACAGAGGAGCTGTGAAGCATTTGGACTTTATTCCATAAGCAACAAAGAATCAAAGTTAGGTTTTCAAGAGGAAGTTAACATTTTTTTTTTTCTCAACAATGTGCAGGGACTATTTGTCATCTTCATCATTATCCCCATCATCTAGCCCTATGGTAAAAGGAAGGCACTTAAATTATTCTTTGAAACGAAGTAATTATTGAGGACCTTTATGATGTGGTTAGGAGCTCTGGTAGCTTAGTGCCTAAGGCACTTGACTGCTAACCAGAAGGCTGGCGGTTCAAACCCACCAGCCACTCCTCCGAAGGAAGATTGGGCAATCTACTTTCCTAGTGATACTGCCTCGGAAACCCAAGGAGGGGTCACTATGAGTCAGTCCGACTCAGATGGCACATAATAACAACAATGATGTGGTTGGTAGGTGGGGTTGAGGATAAGATGTGCATTCAAGCTCAGTGGCTGACAAGTAAATAAACATATTGCTATAATTATATGGCAAATTGCACCCTATTTTGCATTACAAAAGGGATTAGTGCTGTCTGGTAAGGGTTATGAGGGCTTCACAAAAAGGATGTGAGTCGTTAACTGGGCTTTCTGAGAGTAGCTGTCAAACAAAGAGTAACATAGCCAAAGGTGGGGAAATATAAATTACAGTTTAGGTGTGTCAGAATTTCCTAAGACATTCCCCTTTATCTGAAGCTGCAGAGTTGGTAAGATTAGGCAGTTGTCGTTGTAGTGATATATACATCTTCCCCCAAAAAAGGTAACTGGTAATAGGATAGGGAGAAGCCAGGGAAAAGTTGTGGGAGACCAGGAGCCTAGAAAGCTACTGAAAAAGAGGGAAGGGGGTAGGAAGGCAGGGAAAAAGGGAGAGAGTAAGGAAGGGAGAGTGGAAGCCATCCAGCCAGGTCGAGGGGTGTATTCAACTATTTTAATGCACGCCATCCCCACCCCAAAAACTCTGAATCGCATCAGAGGGATCCACAACGTTGCCGCTGATACCTTCAACTTAACTGGGTCCAACCGAGGCCGGCAACGCGATTCTCCCCAATATTAACCTCCTGGCCGTCTGGCCCTTTCAGGGCTCTGCCAGGATTCAAATACTTGTTTACTTCTCACTCCTCCCAGCCTACCGCGGCAAGTTACCAACCTCACCGAGCCTCAGTTTCCACATCGGTACCAAAAGGCTATGCCACTGCGGCCCTGCTGTGAGGATTAACTGATGCAAGCAAAGCGCTTAGTTCAGGGAATTGGACACAGCCAGAGATGAAACCAGCCCATTCGGTCCAGCCTCCTCGTGGGCGCTCTGCCTGCAGAACTTAAAGTGAAAGAGGGAGCCCTCCCCCCAACCAAAAGCTGCGTGATCCATCCGTGCCCTAAATGCGTTCGCCGCACGCTTTTGCCACCGCGTGGATATCCGGGACCTGGAGCAGCAGGCGACCCTGCTGGGGAAGCGGGAGGGGCTGTGCGGGAAAGTTCCGCCAGGAGGGGCTCCCTCAGGGGCTGGGAGCGAACAGCCAGGAGGAGGGCCTCCGCGCCTGCCGACTTACTCCTCCAGGAAGTCCAGAAATAGTTTCTGGCATTTCTCGGCCACCTCATCGCGGACTTCCAGGTGTTGGGAGCCAGAGACCGGCTCCGCTGCCGCTGCAAGATCCATCACCACCTATAGTTGGGTCGCAGTCGCTACCGCCACACTAGTCCACCACGAACGGCTTTTCCCCAGACCTCGCTGGTCTGCGCGCGCCACCGACGCTTCCGCTCCTCCCCTCCCGGGACTGACCGCTGGAGCCAATCGTGGCACAGGAGCTTGGGGATTTCGCGCCAAACCTGCCCAATGAGAGGAGGCTTCTCCCTCAATCCCGCCCACTGAGTGGAGATTTCGCGCCAAATGCAAAGAGAGAAATGCTAGAGAAAGCTGAGGCCTGCCTTTGCGCCTGCGCGATGTGGCCGTGCCCTGGAGGGTGTTGTCCTTCTGGAGCACGTTAAAAGTTTGCATCTTTGTCTCAGTAGTTATTCATGAAATTTCTCTGATATTAATTGACTGGTAGAGTTCAGACTGTATGGTAGAGGAAAATGAGTAAGAGTCAAACCTCCTGCTGAGCTGTCTAGTTGGAGGAAGTAAGCCGTGAACCAAGGGGAGAAAGCTTGCGAAAGAGTTAAAAGCCCAAAACCCCCTGCCATCGGGTCAATTCCGACTCTGCGACAAATGACAGAGTAGAACTGCCCCATAGGGTTTCCAAGGCTGTAAATCTTCATGGAAGCAGGTTGTCTGAACTTTCTCCTGCGGTGGGCCTGGTTGGTTCCAACTGCCACTGGCCTTTTGGTTCTCAGCGAAATGTTTTAACCACTGTGCCACCAGAGCTCTTTGAAAGAGGTAAAATCTGTGTATAAACAGTGCTGGGGCTGGGGTTGGCAGTTACTCTGGTTCTAACTGGAGAAAATTAACTAGGTATTTGACACCAAGGATTAATCCCCTGCTTAAAACAGCTCTTGGCTTCCATTCCCCAGGGTTTTCCTTCTTGCACTTTGCCCATTTTCTCCCAACTTCATTTCACTTGAATTTTCTCTTAAGGTCATTCTTTGTTAGCCTCCTTTGCAGGTGCCTCTTCCTCAGCGAATCCCATAAATGTGCTGGTTCCAGAGCCTTTTTCTCCAATAAAGGAGCTCCCTTGGCTTCACTGAGCATCTGTGTGCTGATGACTTATAAATGTGTATCACCAACCCATACTTTTTTGGGGGCCTCCAAGATATTAAAAGAAACGTGGCCCACTTCCATTTTTTGAAGCTTTCATTATATTGGAAAAATGTAATGCCAAACAGGACAACAAAAATTATAGCAATTTTAACACAGAGACACACTCATACACAAATACACTATTTACAGGGTATTTACTGGGTTCCCCCAAAATGCTTAATTTCTGGTGCACTGTAGCATATCTGTGATTATATCTATACCATCATCTGAAGAAAATGGGAATACTTGAGTATCTGCATCCTTCGCCAGCCCTTCATAGTTCCAGACCTTGTATTTACCTGCCTCCTGAACATCACCACATATATTTGCATACATATATACATATGCAGCTGGTGGGTTTGAACCACCAATCTTTTGGTTAGCAGCTAAGTGCCTTAACCACCACATCACCACAGTTCCTTATATGTACTTTAGGAACCTCAAACTCCACATACTTCCTTTATGTTCACAACCCTGTTGTTGGTTGCTATGGGTTGTTCTGATTCATGAGGACTCCGTGTATGCAGAGCAGAACTGCTCCATAGGGTTCTCAAGGCTGTGACCTTTCTTTCAGAAGCAAATCGCCAGGTGTGTTCTCCAAGGTGGGTTTGAACCACCAACCTTTCGGCTATTAGTCCAATGCTTAACCATTTGTACCACCTAGGGATCCTTCATAAACCTAAAACTTGTTAAACCAAACCCATTTCCATCTAGTCAAATCTGATTCACAAATACCCCATAGGACAGGATAGAATGCTGTTACCAGGATGCCTGAGACCCTGAGCAGGGGTCCTTGCCTTCTACTGACAAAGAGTTGAACAGGAGAGGCAAACTGTCCACACAAACTAAAGTTTATTAAAGAGACAGGAGAGAAGATGGGTTCGCAAGGGAGAGATGGAGAGTGGCTTTTGCCTACGCTACCCTCTGGTCTCTCCCCAAACAAAGGAATTCCTAAGCTTTATAAAGGGTCTTCAGCAGGAAGGAGACATTATCTTTATTCATGAAAAGGGTGGGGTTCTGAGGTTCAAGTTATGCATGTGTGATGTCTCTGGACCCCAGTTCGAGTCCCAGTGACAAATTCTTGTTCTTGCCTCCCTCTGGTGGAAGGTCACGTTGTTGGTCATGTTGACCTTTACTGTGCATGCTGTGCACTTGGTGGGTGCCTAATGAGAGACTTAAAAAAACAATTGGGAGGTTTATCAGCATTTTATAACTAGTCAAGCTTAGGGTCCTTTACTTTGTGACCACTTTATCTCCCTCAAGCACCTGGCTTGCCAACTAATCAGTTTACTGATGCCAGCAGCCAGAATTATGTGGTAGTCTACATATAGGCTTAAATTCCAAGGGCATTGAGTCAGGGGCCTGTTTGACCTGGCAAGCTCAATTCCCTGCCTGTCTCACTGCCCCATAGGGTTTCCAACACTATAATCTGTGGAAGCAGATTGCTACATCTTTCTTCTGCAGAGCGGCTGGTGGGTTCAAACCTTGGGCCTTTTGGATAGCCGTCAAGTGCCTAACTACTGTACTACGAGGGCTCCTTTCACAAGCCTTGTTAGGTGCTATCGAATCAGCTTCCACTCATAGCGACCCTATGTACAACAGAACGAAACACTGCCTGTTGTGCGCCATCCTCAATCCTTGCTGTACCTGAGCCCATCGCTGCAGCCGCAGTGTCAATCCATCTCTTTGAGGCTCTTGCCCTTTTTCACCAACCCTCCACTTTACCAAACATGATATCCTTCTTCTACTGCACTAAAAGTATCCACAAGGTATACAGGAACATTTTTTTACCACATTTCTGCTTCATGCTCTCAGAAGCCCTCATTCTCTCTTTCCCTCTGGGTAGGTTTCTCACAACCGACGTCCTATGTACAGAAGGAAAAGACAAAATATGAGAGAGCACACAGAAGTTTCAGGCTAATCTACAGCTGTGCTCACCAAGAAACTCAAGACTTCCTTCCCTCTGTCTTCCAGATGTCACACATAAGCCACAAAGTGTGACTCCTACTTATTACTTCCTGCTGCTTCCTGGTGAGCCTCCATTGCTTCACAGGAATTGGACTGGAGCTCCCACCTGGGGCTTACTCTATCTCTCCTGGACTAGGCCCCTTGCCAAGGAAGGTGTTTGGTAATGTCATCCCCATTCCTATGAAGTAAAAGATTTACTTTAAACCTCATATATGCCATTTTCACCTTCTTGAGTTTACCATGCCACTGTCTTCTTGTGGTTCTGAAGAATTTCCTGTGCTAAAATTGTGTGTAGAAGCATCAGCGTTCAGCTGAGTGATCTCATAAAGAAGTGTTGGGACTGTTCATGGGGACTGACTGGGATGTGGAGAAAGGAGAGGGCAGAAGAAGACACTTGAAAATATTTAACAACCGGAGAACACCAGGATCTTAAATATCTCTACTTTCTGTGTGATCTAGAGCAAATTGTTTAACCTCTCTGTGCCTCAGATCTTTATCTATGGGATAGTAATAATAATACCTGCTAATAAAGTTGTTATTGTAAGCATTAAGTGAGATAATACATGTAAAGTGCTTTGTATGATGCCAAGCACATTCTAAGGAGCTCTGGTGGCATAGTGCCTAAGGCATTGGACTGTTAACCAGAAGGTTGGTGTTCAAACCTACCAGCCAGTCTATGGAAGGAAGATGGGTTAATCTACTTCCATAAAGATTTACTGCCTCAGAGACCTAGTGGGGGTTGCTATGAGTCGGAATTGACTTGATGGCAGTGAGTTTGGTTTTGGTTTTTTGAGCACATTCTAGATATTATATTAATATTCTGTTTATCCCTGCTCAGGATTGATTCATTATAAATCTGTTTGTCTTAAATATTGTCTATAAAAATATGTTTATATAACATAATCCATTATAATACATCAGGTATGTATGTGTGTGTGTGTGTATGCATGTGTGTCTGTATATCTCCTTTCTTTGAATGTCCTTACAAGCTGTCAGCCAAAGAGCCTCTTTAGCCCACCGTACTATGTACTCCACACCAGGTAGGGTTGGTTAATGCAAACCTGCACACCTCTGTCTGCTGAACTAAGTGTATCCTGCAACTTGGCTGACAGTTGGAGATTGGTGAAAGACTATGTTATGAAGCGCATCATAAACATCATTGCTACCTGGGAGGAGAGGATGGCTTGATGTGTGCCTGGAAGAAACCTTGACCCAAGGCATGTCTTGATTTCAGAGTTTTTGAGGAGGATCAAAGGGCAGATGCCAATGTCGCAGAAATGCATTTCCCTCAGGATTATGCTATGAGGACTAACTACTGCTATTTTAGCTAGTGTTCGCATTTCCAGGAACCCCTTTCCAACATAGGGCATGTGTCCATACCCTACTGTCCCACCTCCTCCGTGAGACCTGACCTCCTAGTCTATGACTCTTCCTCCTTTTTCTGAACTCTGAGAGCATTATTCCACCATCACCCCACTTGGCATATGCAGTTTTTGCCTTGATTTGCATGATTTTCCTTTCAGGTTACCTTTTGGTATGATATCAAATATTTATTGATTAAAAACTGGAAACTTGGGAAGACTGAAAACCCTCTAAGACTGAAAAAAGCATGTTTTCTTAGAAAAGCAAACCTTTACATTATGGAAAATTTAAAATACATATGAAAGTAGAGAAAATAGAATTATGCACCCTCATTACTTATCACCTAGTTTCAGTAATCAACTTGTGGTCAATCTTGTTTTATCTAAAACATTACCATTTTCCCCACACTAAATTATTTGGAAACCAATTTCTGACATCACATAATCTCTTCCATATATATTTCACTATATACCTCTAACAGAATGAATGTGTGTGGCACAAGCGGTTTGCAATTGGTTGCAAACCGCAGTTCAAATCCACCTAGCAGCTTTGCAGAAGAAAGAATTGGTGGACTGCTTCCATAAAGATTACAG